CTACCCTGGGGAACAACAAGATTCCCATACAAATATCCCCGAGAAAGGGATATTTGTACACCACAAGACTTCTCCAGCTTTAATTATTCTTCCGTGCTCAGATATCAGGAGGGACGAAGATGGATTTGGGTTTTCACTTCCTTTAACGCTGCTCTGCAAAGAGTTGTTGCCCTGGCAAAGCATCCTTTTGCAGCCTCTGCTTCCCTCCCTCTGCCCCTGCTCCCTTTGTATTCCACAACTCAGCCAGGGAGCAGGATTTTGCCTGTTGACAGTTGTACAACATAACCTGGTGCTCAGCCCAGGGGGAGGAGAGGAGGATGTTCATGCTAGGCAGAGCACTGAGAATTCAGGAGGGACTTTTGTAACCTACTGAACCACAGCAGACCTAGGAAAGATCTGAAGATTATGCAGTTCTTTTCCATGTTTTCTTTCCTCACCCCTGCTCTCTCTCTTTTTTTTTCTTTTTTTTTTCCCTTTTTTTTTTCTTGCTAATGATTTTTGCCAGTTGAAAAAACAGTTCAAGTTGTGCCCCCGTCTCAGAGTGGCAGTGAAGCATGCCTGAGGATTTGCTCCAGTGGCAAAGCAGATCTGATTGGGAAAAAAAGCAAACAGCAGAGGCCATTCGAGCAAGTCATGCTCCTGAACCCTTTCAGTCAGTGGTGGCTGCCAAAAGAGGTCTTGCACAAGCAAATCTGGCTTCATGCAGGAGGAACATTTTTGCATGTATGCAAGCTGGCTCTGACTCCCTGATAATGTGGTCTCTGGAAGCAGTGTTAATGTGCTTCTTAGATCCCTGGCTGCTGGAATTACCTTACTATCAAGGTATTCATGGTTTGGTATGTAGCTCTATGTTTTATTGACTTTGTCTGCACTGAACTCCCTAACGAGCATATGCTCTGCTGGGGAGTCACCTCTGGCTGTTCCAAAGGGCTGGTGAGGAAAGGAGGTAATTCATAGGGCATTAGAATGCTAAACAAGTCTGAGATGATTGTATTTTCTTCCCTCTTGAAGTATGTTTCCTTAACTGTACTTCAAATCACTTTTATTTGCAGCTACACTTTGATTTACAGTAACAAAAAAATAATTTATCAGTGTAAAATCAGCTAGGGAACAGACAGTAGGTGTTCTTTTAATTTAAAAATGGATGTTATATTATTATTCAGCCTTGTTTGCTTATATTAGCTTACTGTGCTAGACATGCTTTATGATTTAGAGTGACTATAAACCAAACAAACCGAAGTGTTTTGGCAGAGGTGCTGGGCTTGGCTGTCAGGGCAAAGAGTCTGAGGTCCCTCTGTAAAATATAAGATGGGAAATAGCAATGCAGGTGTTGTAACATGCTTTTTTTACACACAGAGACACTCATGAATCATTTATTGCGGGATATAGGACTGGTCACTTCATTCAGGAAGCAGTGGGGAAGTGGGGGCAGGGGAAAATCCTCCTCTGAAGCCCTTATTTTTTTTTTTTCCATGGATGGTTTCATAAGAGTTTCTTCCCCTGCCAGTGGTAAGGGAGGGGAGCAGGGGCAGCACTGCCACTGTGACAGATCCTCCTCTCTTCCCATATCAGTGGGAAGGGAAGGGAAGCATTTCTGCAGGGAAAGGAAACCAAGATGAATTTCCCCGGGGAGGAAAAGAGTACTAGAGGAATTCAGGATCACACAGGAAAAAGTGATGCAAGAGGAAAAAAAAAAAGAAAAAAAAAAAAGAAGAAGGAAGCAAATCAACATAAAAAAAATACCCAATGACCAAAAAAAGCACCAGAAATTGGCTGGGATCCATTTCAGGAAATCTCTGTAAAGCTCAGTAACTTTGTCACATAGAGAAATCCAAATGATGGGAGGAGGCAGAGGATGATGGGGGAGCTCTGATCCAGCCTCTTTCATCTATATTAGACTCCAAAATGCTCCACCACGCTGACCTCACATGTGGAGATCAACATTACACACAGGGACAGCAGGGAGGGACAGAGAGAAATTGTGACTTGTGAATTGAAACACAGCCTGGAGTGTGACAGACACACCAAAGCTTCTCCTCTCAGGTTAAACCTGAAAGGGCAAGTTTTGCAGTGTCCCCCTCTGTGCTGGTGTAGCCCAGGGAAGACACTGTGCCCCTCCCATCTTCTGGGGGGGGGAACTCTTCTGCCACGGCATTTTGGTGTCATTATCTGTGGTATCAGGTGTCCTCCAGCAGGTCTGGGAATGTGGCAGGATGCAGTGGCAGGATTTGCTCCATTTGGGGCTCCTGGACAGGGAACAACGTGTTCCAGGGCAGAGAAGAGACAGGGGCAAGAGAGACTCTTAGTAGGCCCTTGCGTGGGTTGAACCTTGTTCTTTACTGTGAGGGGGGTGAGACACTGGAACAAGTTGCCCAGAGAAGTTGTGGCTGCCCCATCCTTGGAAGTGTTCAAGGCTGGGCAGGGCTTGGAGCAACCTGGGAGAGTGGAAGGTATCCCTGCCCATGGCAGGGGGTGGAACTGGATGATCTCTGAGGTCCCTTCCAACCCAAACCATTCTATAACTGTGGTTATTCCCACCTCACTCTGGCTGCTCCAGGTGACATCTGGTCGTGTCACCCATCTCCCAGATGTGAGGAGCCCTTGTGAGGATCTCTCATCAATGTGTGGACCCAGCTGGTGCTGCAAATGAAGAGTGTGGTGCTTGTTTCACCAAGCCTGGCACACGGTGGAAGTATCCGAGTGGTAGAACTGCTGTCCCCACCCTACCCACTGCATCCCAAACACATATTCCGACCACTTGTGCAGTAAACAGTGCCTCAGGAGCCCTGTCCCTGCCCCCCCAGCTGGAGCCCACCAGCAGGAGCCCCGAGGAGGGAGGTGGAGCCTTGGCTGTCTCCGTCCCTGTGGAGGAGGAGCTGGCAGCCCTGGGGAGTTGCTCCCAGGAGCAGGAGTCCAGGTAGGCTGAGCAAGGGGGTGGGATGGGGATGTGTGTCCAGCACTGGATGAGAGAGGCCAGCTATCTCCTGGCCTGGAACTTTGTGGCAGGGAAACTTGTTCTGGCGACGTGGAATTCATGGCTGAGGGGAACTGTGCTTGAGAGGGAGAAGTGAACTTATTTCAGGACAAAGTTTTCCATATGTTTTTTATCCGTGTCTTATCCAGGGTGAGGCTTGGTGTGGGGAACGGAGCCTCTTCCTTAAGCATTTCCCTGACAGGTTTCCCACTGCAGGTTGCACGTATTTATTGCACACTGGCAGCAGTGTTTGACTCCGGGTTTGCCTAAAGAGCAGTTGCATGTACAGCCCTTCCCACCCCCTGCCCTCCCACCCCAACCCCCATCCCAGCCCCCCCCCCCCTCCCCCCCCCCGTTTCCTCCCGTTGTTCTTTTTCGGATCACTTGAAGGTTTTTTCCTGTTTATTATCCGGACATGCTGTGCACTGTGTGTTGTTTGACTGTCATATAAGGAATCTCCTACTGGGATCATGGATGCATTCCTTTCTTTTATATATATATATATATATATATATATATACACACATGGCAATGGTTCCTAAGCTATGGAAGAGAAATGCTGGTGATTAAACCAAAACTGGAAGGAGTTACAGTTGTTAATGGGAGCTAAGTTTAATTACCCTTTCCCAGAAAACCTGCAACATGGTGATGATATAGTCCCAAACAAAAATTCTCCTTAATTGACATAACAGGAAAGTAACTTCAGTGAGCAATTATGCTGATGTCCTGGGCTGGCACATGTGTGTGCCACAAATATATCTTGTACTTCCTGCAAAATTCTTTTAAGTAGCTATAAGGAAGACATTATTTTTTTCCTTTTTTCTTTTTTTTTTTTTTTCAGTGGCTCACAAGAACTAATCACTTACTTGAGGCTCTTTTTGAGGAAAACAATGGAACAAAACAATGCCTTTTTGTAAGACCTGCCAAAGCACAAAGGATGCATGGGATGTTTTTTTTCTTTGTTGCTTTTGTCAGCAGGAAGTTTTGTTGTTGGAAACGACTATAACATGCACTGTCCTTGCTCTACGTAATCGCTGTCTGGTCCTGCAAGCCGGGTCTTGTTAAGCTGCCTCATCCAACTGGCACAGGCACCGCTCTGCTTCACTCTGTGGGCTTTGCTCAGCCCGGAGTGTCCTCACACTTAACGCTCCATCCGGGCTGATGCACAATAAACAAACTTCAGGACTCGGGTGGTCCAATGATTGCTGGGTTTGAGCAGGTCAGGGCCCACCTTCAGAACGCTGACTTTATGAATTGCCTCCTTTTTATGTTTTTTTTGGTTTTTTTTTTAGCTTAAAGTCGCGGTGCTGTGCAGCGCAAGCGGCTTCAAAGTGTCGCATTCAGGTGTAAATGCTCCTTTCCAAAGCTCGACTTTGATGTGCTCAGGTCTGCTTTGTTTCCCTCTAGGTTAGTTGTAGGTTCGTGTAACAAAAGAGCCAGATCCGACTGAGTAAATCACTTGTGGAAGTTAATTGTTCACAGTGAAAGCTGGTCTGGCTCATTCTGCCTCCGTCGCAGGAAGAGACAGAGGTGGTGCTGGATCTGCTCTCTGAACCCAGCCTTGACGCGATTTTAACTCTGATCAGATGTCTCTCTTCAGGGCATTAAAGAAAACCTGCTCACTAATCAAAAAGAGCCTCTTCTCTAGAGAAACGTAAGGAAAAAAAAAATTGTTTAATGCCTTTTACAGAAATAAAGGACTAATGTAAAAGTTCAGCTCTGTCGAATTTCTTTTGCAGGCTGTCATAAACAGAAACCTTTACTTCTCCACGCTTGGCAGCCACCAGAATCAAAGAATGATTTTTTTTTTCTTCCTGGATTAAAAAAAAAAAAAAAAAAAAAAAAAAAATCAAATTATTTGCAATGTCAGACACTGTATGATGCTAACTCTGCACTCCAGCTGTTTTTATTCACTGTGTGCTGTGTTTAGATCGTGTTTGTGCCTTCGCTCCATCAAATGGTTTTTAAGGATCAGCTGTGGGCTTCGGCTTGGTTGAGTAACAGTCTTCTTTTGCTCTCTCCTCAGGACTGAAGCAGTGAGAATGGAAACCACGAAGATCAACATGTCCCGTGTCCCTCTGGTGAACGGGGGCATCGACTCTGCCATGCTCAAGGCGCACAAACCCCGGGTGATGTCCAAAAGCGGCCACAGCAACGTGCGCATCGACAAAGTCGACGGCATTTACCTGCTCTACCTCCAGGACCTGTGGACTACAGTGATAGACATGAAGTGGAGGTACAAACTCACCTTGTTTGCTGCTACTTTTGTCATGACCTGGTTCCTCTTCGGGGTTATCTACTACGCCATCGCGTTCCTCCATGGCGATTTGGAGATGAACAAGTTCCCCCCGAAGCGCGAGCCGTGCGTCAAGAACGTGGACTCTCTGACTGGGGCTTTCCTCTTCTCCCTGGAGTCACAGACAACCATTGGCTATGGGTTCCGTTTCATTACAGAGGAGTGTCCCCACGCCATCTTCTTGCTCGTGGCCCAGCTGGTCATCACCACCCTGATTGAAATCTTCATCACAGGTACCTTTCTGGCCAAAATCGCGAGACCTAAAAAAAGGGCAGAGACCATTAAATTCAGCCACTGTGCCGTCATTACTAAGCACAACGGAGAACTTTGCCTGGTGATCAGAGTGGCAAACATGAGGAAGAGCCTCCTGATACAGTGTCAGCTGTCTGGGAAGCTCCTCCAGACATACGAAACCAAAGAAGGGGAGAGGATCCTGCTGAACCAAGCCAGTGTCAAATTCAACGTCGACTCCTCCTCGGAGAGTCCGTTTCTCATTTTGCCTTTAACCTTCTACCACATTTTGGATGAGAGCAGCCCCTTGAGAGACCTGACACCTCAGAATCTCAAGGAGAAGGACTTTGAGCTGGTGGTGCTCCTGAATGCCACGGTGGAGTCCACCAGTGCTGTCTGCCAGAGCAGGACTTCCTACATCCCCGAGGAGATCCACTGGGGCTACGAGTTCGTGCCTGTGGTTTCCCTCTCTCCAAATGGAAAGTACGTTGCGGATTTCAGCCAGTTCGAGAAGATCAGGAGGAGCACAGATTCTACTTTTTACAGCATGGACTCTGAAAAGCAAAAACTGGAGGAGAAATACAGGCAGGAGGATCAGATGGAGAGGGAACTGAGAACAATGTTGTTACAGCAGAGCAATGTTTGATTGAATGGACAAACTATTCTGATTAATCCTTTTTGCAAACTGAAAAAAGACCCATACTCTGTGCTGTATGTCTGCCATGAAACCAGCAGGGGAGTCCTTTTTTAACTTTGGTGCACAGTAAATCAATCCCTTTGGCCGAGTGGTTAATCAATTATTTTTTAATTAGGCGGGATTTCTCTGTGCACCATCACGACTTAGCAAAGTCGGATTTGTGCTAAGTCTGTGCCTTCTGCCACCACTAAAAGCAGACACAGCACTTTCCTTTTGTAAAGTGAAACTGGATGCACTGTGCTGATTCCTCCAAATATTTATTTGTCGTGGTTTTACTGTGAACATGCACTCGCAGAGACGGCACACAGCACTGCTCCTTTAAAATACCTATATTTAAAATGTATATTCTTGTACCAGGCATTGCCTCCCGGGGGATTCCCGGCACTGAAAGTAAGTTTAACGGAAGAGAAAAGCGGTTGGATGTGGGAAGAGCCTGCAGGGAGGGGTTAAAATCCTTAAATCTTGAAGGAGGGTGACAGAGTAGTGCTGGGTGGAGAGGAAGAGAACTCGCTCTCTGTCTCTGCTGCTCAGAGCTTGTTTTGTGATTGTTTTATGATCACTCACTTTTTTAACCTTGCTAATGCCTGATTTATATATAATAGCAAAAAATGAGGGAGATAAGGGCAAGATGCACAGAATCATAACAGTGGTCAACTAAGGTTACAGCTGGCTTTGAGACACCTGTTTTTTATCCAGTGTAAATAGTTTGTAGCAGCAGCATAACAATACAATTCTACAGATTGCTTGCTTTGCTATGGACCATATTTAATTCTGGTTAAAAGAAAGCTGTGTAACGTCTGTAGACAATATTTACTTTTTTTTTTCTGGCAACCATAAAGGACAAGCATTCCTTTCATCCATTTCATTTTTTTTGGTCTAACTAAAACCATTCCATTAATAAAGGAATTAAATTTGAGCAGTTCCTGATGTCTTTGTGGCGTGGGGAGAGGGTGTAGAACCTCAGAGGTGCTGAAAGGGTGCTTGGTGCAGGTATTTGCATGTGACACAAAGCCTGGGGACTCTGCAGGTCACCTGCAGTGGTCACATTGCAGGTGGAAAACCAGGGAGCAGTGGTGTCCATGTAGTAAGTCTGTTATATATGGGTCAGCTTTTTAAAGGGACTTTGAAATTATTTCTGGCTCATATCATTTTGGCAGCTTTCTGAGTTCTAGAGATTTTTCTCCCCTAAAGCTTTGGAAAGACAAAGATGTTTTTAGTGCAAGGTCTGGGTCTTAGGACCAGGTCTTGGCCTGAGAGCCACCAAGACCAGCATGAGAGAGCAGGGGACGTGGAACTAGGTGATCTTTAAGGTCCTTTCCAACCCAAAACATTCAGTGCTTCAATGATTTTTGACATCATTACACTTGGCAATACTGTGCTGAGCTTCCCAGCACCGCGTGGCCTGGTGGGATGAAGTCCTGCAGTCTGCCATACAATATTCTATACAATAAATAAATCCAGTTTGCAGCCTAAAGAGGCTAAAGTTGAGAACAGAGGTCCCCCTGGCACCAGGAAGGAATGTCAAGAAGAAAGGAGCACACACTGCAGGAGTCTGTGGGTGTCTGTGTGCAGGGTAGTGATGGGGGTGGTAAAGGGGGGCTTGAGAGCATTAAAACTACTTATTTATGTCAGTGATGAGCTCTCCTGTGTGAGAAATCAGACACAGAATCACAGAATGGTTTGGGTTGGAAGGAACATTAAAGATCATCCAGTGCCACCCCCTGCCATGGGCAGGGACACCTTCCACTTGCCCAAGTTGCTCCAAGCCCCATCCAACCTGGCCTTGGACACTTCCAGGGATCCAGGGGCAGCCAAAACCTCTCTGGGTGACCTGGGCAACACCCAAGTTCTTATTTGAAGAGAGAGACTTAATCCAAGAAGGTTCCCTACTCACCACAACAGGAGCAAGGTTTCCCAAACCACTGTAACTGCAGGGCCTGGCAGCATTTGTGGAATGACTTTCCAGGTGGTGTTACCTGATATTTCCAGGTGGTTGTCACACAGGATTCCATTTTTATCACATATGGAGGATGTCAATGTTTAAATTATTGGTCGTTAATTTTCAGTTTTCCATCACTTTCCCTGATTTCTTGTTTTGTTTCAAGGAATCCTGCGCGCTCCGCAAATTTTTACAGTCCCTTTGTGGACCTGAGGTTCTTGTCTCAGAACCCAAAGAACGCTGCTTTGGGATGCTGAGGTGAAAGTGTGTCTTAACCCTTCCTCTGCCAAGCTTGTTTTAAAAATCAAACACTCCAATTCTTTCTTATCCAGGCAAGGACTCAGATCATTCCTAAAACAATTGTCGCAGTTGTCTGTTGACTATAAAACAATTCACCTACAGCAAGTGAGCTGGTTATTCTCCAGAAATCCCTGCTGTTGGGCTGATCCCTTTGCACAGCATCCCAAAGTTCAGTCACTGTGCTCTCAAGGCCATTCCAGTCGTTAGGTTATCCTGAAGAAAAAGCATCTCAAGCAAAAAGCCTTGGGAAAGAAAACATCACAGAAGTTATTTTCTCTGAACTTTTGGTCCTACAAGGAAAAGAGAAAAAAGAGAAGACTGAGAAGAGGAAGAGAAGAAAGGAGAGAGGAGGGGAGGGGAAGGGAGAGAAGGGGAAAGGAGGGGAGAGGAGAGGCAGAGAAGAAGGAGAGGAGAGGGAGAGGAGAGGGAGAGGTAGCTCTTTCTCCATAAAAAGAAAGAAGAAAGTTTTCTCTACAATTATCTGAAAGAAGGTTGTAGTGAGGGTGGGGAGTCGGGCTCTTCTGCCATATCCCAAGGGAAAGGATGAGAGGAAATGGCCTTAAATTGTACCAGGGCAGGTTCAGATTAGGGATTAGAAGAAAAATTTCCCTGCAGGAATGTTCAGGCATTGGAATAAGTGTCCCAGGGAGGTGGTGGAGTCACTGTCTCTGGAAGTGTTCCAGAGGAGTCTGGATGTGGCCCCTGGGGACGTGGTTGAGGGGTGATTGTGGTGGTGCTGGGTGATGGTGTGACTGGATGAACTTGAAGGTCTCTTCCAACCTTGGTGATTCTGTGATTTTAGAAATCTTTGGCAAAACCAAGACAAACCTACATCAGGTAGTGAGAGAGTGTACAGTAGCATTATATACACACATTAGTATAATATTTATTAATTTCAGCTTAGGAAAACAGCCTTATTCTGCAGGAAGCTGAAGTTTTCCATCCTGCTTTTGTGAAACTGTTACTTCCATGGCTGTCCCTGCAAGCTGGGAAGAGCAGCAGTGGAGCAGCTCAGCTGCAAAGTGCTGAACTGCAGCAAAAAAATGTCCTGACATGTGGATCTGACCTGGATCACCAGCAAACCAAAACCTCTCACTGCCTGGGGCGGCTCCTCTGGTTGTGTGAACACGGCTCTGGGGATTTACTGAGGACTGGCAGGATGGGGAGCCAAAAAGCAAAACTTTGGTGGCCATCCCAAAGCTGCCTCACCCAGGAGCAAGGACTGTCCTGCCCAAGTGGTGATTGAGGGGCGTGAGACCCTTCTTGTCTGTCACCTGCTTGTCCTCAGGGTGTTGGGGCAGAGCACCCACAGCTCCAGCAGGTTGGATCCCTGCACAACTGGCAGCAGCACCTTCTCATCCTGCTCCCCATCCCAAAAATAGAGGGTGCCACTTGAGGAACCACTGTCCTTCAAAATGTACTAACTTTTTTGAAGCAATTTAAATCAAATCCTAATCTAAAAATTTCAGTAGTGGGATCCCATGTCCCTGTGCCAACTGGAATATCTCTGTCAAGTAAACCCTCCATTCCAGGCACTTTCTAAAAGTCAGACTTTTTAAAAATCCAGTCATTCACTCTTTAATATTTACTGAGGGATGTGACATATTTAGGCTGCTTTTATTTGTGAGTTATCAGTGAGCAGAGCATTTTTAGAGTAGTTTTAGTTGTCTGAACTTGTACAGCACACAGCTGAGTGGGGACTTATTTCAGCTCGTGGATGTTTCTGAATAATTTGCCTTGGCTTGAATAATTCATTGTTCTCATTTTTTTTTCTTTCTTTGTTTTTTTTTGTTTTGGTGGGAGTTTTTTCTGTGGAGGTAGGTGATTGAAGAAGCATAATTTCACTTGCTGTTGCTTCCTTGCAGAGGCTGCAGGCTGCCTGTGCCGGAGTCAAATCCATCAATCCTTCACTAACGTTTCACTTCGTCTTCCAAATGGATGACAATGTCTGTGGAGAGCCAAGAATTCGACAGGGGGGACACAGTGGTCTCCAGAAAAATGTGTTTCTCTAGTTTTCTGAATAAAATCAGGAGGGCAAACAACTATTAAGTCTAAAATCCACTGGGGGAGGGGATGCAAACTGGGAAAACGGAGGAAAAAAAACACCCAAACATGCACAGTTATGCCCACCCATATGACTGAACATTTGCTACTTCCATAGGATGCCAGGTTAAAAAAAAAAACACCTCAACTCCCTCAGATTTGCTGGGATGACTCAAAGAACTGGGAAAAGGGAATGCAAGCTCTGTATTTGAGCAAATGTTCCTGATGACTCCTGCGTGTGTTTGCTCGGTGTCAGTCTGATGACAGCCCGATCTTGTGAGAGAACAGGTAAGATTCTGCGATGACTCCATCAAATCCCTGATAAAGAGAAGTTTAAAGAAGCTCAGTGTGTGCTCCAGCTCTTGCTTATTCCTTGTTATTATTCTGTTGGGCTGCAAAGCATTCGTGTCCTGGTCGCCCTGATGTTGCTGGGATTACATGAATAAAGGAATGTTCCCCTGACCTGCCTGTTCAGCCTTCAGCAGATACTCTCTGCAGATATTAGATTACCAGAGCAGAGCCCTCTTAATGCAATGGTTTCTGCTTGAACATCCTGTACCTACATGGCTTGAAAGGGCTTTTGGAGCATTTCCAGGGCGCCATATATTCCCCCAGAGTTAGAAGCTGCTTTGTCCTGTGTTAGCACATGGTGCAGAGGGAAAGTAATTCCACGAGTAGCACAACTTGCATGTGATTTTTGCATCTCCTCTTAACAATAAATTCCACAGTGGTCACTGTGCACTTCCCCATGTCATGTGTGTTGAATTCATTCTTTCTTTACCAAGGGTTTATCCAGACAAACCATGACATGGTGGCTGACACCAGTTATACTGAGAGGAGGAAAGTGTTTAAAGACGTAGGATTTTTGTAATTTTGCCCTGAGTTTTTCACCGTGGACAAAGACCTGCTCTACCTGTCTGCTCCTCTGCTTTGCCCAGGGTCCTCCATCCCACAGCAGAATGGAGCATTGCCTGGCACTGCCAAGGCTCCAGCTGAGATCCAAATGTGTGGAAGGCTCTGATGGAAGAGTGTTGGTGTGAAGATCCAGCTCTGTGGAGCTGTTTTGGTGACTTCCACACTGAACAAAAGTGTGGCAGTGAACAAAACATGGCAGTTTTGAAGTAGTAGTTTATGTTGCAAGTAAGGCATTATTGAAGTTAAATAAGTGTTTTAAAACTAGCATTATCATGCACAAATTTGAAATACCTGGTACAATATTTGTAAGTACAACTCTAGCACATGACAGGAGTTTTTAGAGCACGGGCTGAATTCCTATTGCTTTCTGGCCAATACTAATTTTAACCTTGTGCATAAGATTAATATGCATGTAATTAATAGATGAGTGACAAAAAAAGAGGAAGAAGGTAAAACAGAAAGAGATTTCTTCAAACATTGTCTTAGGACTGTTGGAACATATTTCTATCATTGTTTTGATTTAATTTTTATTACTGTGGTAATAAAAAGGGTGCAGCAACACGAAGCTTTCTCTGCTCACCCTCACTGTATATCTGCTCTGTCTTGGGAACACTCCAGCCTCATATTAAGACCCACTGAGTCCGAGTTTCTACACATCAAAAAGGGCTGAGGGAAGGATTTAAAAGAGGTCAGATGGCTCCAGAACTCATTAATGGCTT